GAACTCAATGATTATCCTAATTATATTTTAGATTTTTTATATTTAAAATGAGATGTTTATCCTGTATTTGATTGTGTTTATCTGCAGTTAGTTATATGAATTCAGATATGTGATGAAATCGGATAGGGATGAACGGGTTTAAGAGTTTTTAAGAGTTTAAGAGTTTTAAGAGTTTTAGCCAAATGTTTTATAATATAGTATAGATTATATATCCAGTTCAGGTCAAATACCTATAATTAGAATACGAAACCGTACCAATACTTGGTTTTTCCCGTCATGCATCAAACATTTGATTGGGTTTCTCAAATTTTCTCATTTTTTAACACCCTACTTAAGGCCAAAGGTGTAAAAAACATCAAAGATTTTCACAAAAACAAAAATTCAATATATTTTTCAGGACATATGATATGTTTGCATACGTCCCAGACTCTTATAAGATATTATCTCGTTCGGTTGAAAAACTGAAACTAGCAAAACCACACGATATTTATGTTAACCACCAATTTATTTCAGTTAAAGTTCGTAATTTTAGACGCTTAATTTGAAGAAAAATCAAAATGTAAAATAAATACTTTTTTAAACCCTTTGACAAATATTACCAAACAAATGAAGGAATTGGAATACGAACGGTAGCAATTGCTACATCACACAATCTTCTTCTTGATGGGATTAGGATACATTACAAAGTGCATATTGGATCTGATAGCATTAATGTGATGCAAAGATTGGGGAATTCGTTGTTTTTTAGTAGAAAGTTACGTGTTTTAATGTACAGATTGGATGAGATAAAAAAAATAGTCTCATGTTTGACATGGACGAACAAGAATGAGGCTGGACAACAAAATGCAAAACTTGAGTTTTTTTTTTTTGCCCTTAACAAAAATTATTTTGAGCAAACAAGTAATTAATTTATCAGAATCCAAATCAAAATTAGACGAATGTGGTTTGACCATCATTATGATAAATTTCATAAGGTTTGTTTTCTTTCAAGAAAATACTAGCCCATAAATTGACCACCAAGGTAAATCGCTAAATTCAATTAGCCTATTCCTCCGTATCCCATATGGGTTTCATACTTATAGGAGAACTGGATGGGGAAGGGCAACAGTAGGAAGATCCGAGTACACTGGACTCTGATTTTGTTCGACCAACATTTGGCATAAAAAAATAGGAATAGATAAATAACACATAAATCGAGGGTACTCCTTTCAATGAATGAAGACCAAGGAAAGTCAAATGTTTAACCATTCATGAAGAGGAAGTGAGATAACGACAACGCGGTTGAGAAAAATCCATATCAATCCATTTCTTCTTTTAGTAGACTCGTCTATGAATGTTCATTCAAAAAGGAATGCCGAGCTCTTTCTTTCACAACTAACCCCAATTTTCTTAATGTCGAGACTTTCTCTTTCTATTTTTACCCAAGGCTTTGCTACTTCGGGTCTTTTAACCAAATAAGACGATGCAAGCAAAAGTTCTTAGATTTCATGGAGCTTTCCGATCAACCAATCCCCTATAGTAGCGTGTGGAACAGCGTTAGACAAAAACATAAGATTACCGTATTACCTTCATAACCTAACGAGTAGGTTATTGATTCCTTCCTTTTTTGTATTTACCCAAAAAGGTGGACTTCAATAGTTTTGTCCAATCCTATCCTTACCGTTCAGAATACAAACAATTAGCGTGGTCATAAGATTTGTGCACATGGTTTGTCTCCTAATAAATTTGTTACATGAGATGATTGGAAACATGCATACACATGTATCATCCAATTAGATGTTATTAAAAATTGAGGTAAACCACAAGGGTAGTGCCTGATTGGTTTGAGCTTGACTTTAAAGGTTAAAAGTACCAGGAGGTCCCAGATTTAAATCCAAGGAGAAATAAAAATCCCCTTGTGGCCACGGAGGTTCAAATGCAGTGACTCCGGACTATCTGCAAAGCAGGTGGTCACCCTGGGATTAGTCAGCTCGCATAGCGAGTTGGATATCCAGGTTAATAAAAAAAAATTGAGGTGTTAATTAAACATAAAAGGGGTTATAAGTAAAGTATAATGGTGGGGTAATAACATCAATTATTTGACTCCAAAATCATAATGATGGTGGAAGAGAATGATGATCATGGATCACACCAAACATTCTTTTCTTTAATGACTTCCACACATCATCATCGGTCTCTTTTTTCCAAATAAAATCCATTCACAGAAAATTGAGATGAAATAATGAAATGGGATGTGTGGTTACCTTCAAGTTTACTCACTACGATACCGGAATGAATATGATCTCTGCGTAAACCCGAAAGTGTATATGTGAGTCATCTGTAAACCCAAAGAAATTAATCCATTTGAAGATGTATATGTGAATCGACGTTCTCTTCTACCAGATAAAACATAGGGTAATAAAAAACATGGTATGACTTTACATACAATTGTGCGTACGTAATATAAACGATGGCGCATGACATGGCTTTATACTTCTTGTTTTGTACGTTTTAACACGAATTTTTCCAGAAGACATACGAGGGGCGTAACATTAACCCTTTCAAAAGCGAGCAAGCGAGCAACTTACATTACATATCAAGAGAAGTCGTAAGTTTAACACCATAAGTCCAAATTTACATGAGATATTAAGAAGTTCAAACAACCTTCATACCCTTATTTCTTTAGCTTGTAAACATAAACACTAACCCATGCTTAATCTCTAGCTAGCTACCATTGGCTTCATCAGTGATGCCCATACGGTTTGAAGCCTTCAATCCAAATGTGCATCAGCAACACTTCGATCTGTAGAAGTACAAGTGAACACCAATCGTGAATGCAGCACTCTTATTTCTTATGATGCTTTCACTTGAGATCAAGTTCTATAAAACAATATGCAAGAAAAGAAATCCCCATAATGTGGAGTGCCATTTTACCATATTGAGTCCAATGGAAGTAATCAGTGATTTATTTGTAAGTTAAGCAAATCTATAGCACCCCACAAACTCAATATCTTTCCTTTTTTGCAGAAAAAAGTAAGTGGTTAAATTAAAACCCTGAAGGGAAACTCAACTGGTAAGAACTTGAGTTTGTTCAACAGAGGTCACCAGCTATTGGAGAGTTTGTTTGGCTGTATACTTTAGGGTCCTCTAGGATTAGTCGAGATGTGTATAAGCTGGTCCGGATATGGTTACCAAAAAAACAAGTGGGTTACACATGATTCTTCAGGAAAAATGGTTTTCCATGGTAGCATAGGTGGTTGTCATATATTTACTTCTGTAAGTATGGATTACCTGGAGAGCATCTTATTTGACACTTGCGATCGCAACGTTGCATAAGCCTTGCTGAGAATAATTGAAACAAAATGGTAAGTGGTTGCAATGTAATAAGTATAATATGTGAAGTGAAAGGAACAAAACATATTCTACCAATCTATACAATCTTGTAGCAAAGAACAGTGAAAAAAATTGTGCAAATCCGGAAATTCTTCAATTCTAGGAATTTGCTTCCTTTCTGTTTTCCATCCGCAAAACAGAAGCATACATATGATTCCGTTTTAATAACAGTTTCTGCTCCCTTATGCCTGTAAGCTAAATACTCAAAATGAACAAGCTTTCAATATCTGATTGTAACAATTCTAAATTGCCCAGTGATATTGCCATTGAGCAAAACTTACTTATCCGTTGAAGCTAGAGTGTAAGACATCTCGATTTGTTGGGATTTTACCATGGGAATTGATCCCACATAGGAAGAAAAGGGAAATTTGGAGAGGCTTATAAGGCTAGTTCCATAAACCTTATCAAATTGGACCAAGCCACATGGATTAAGCTTGGTGCTTGGTATATATACATTTATGGTCAAAGATAGGGCCTTGGGCCTCTTGGGGTCTCTTAACCATTACGACCGACTCTGGCCGAATCGCTGTTACGTGCAAAAACTGCCAACATATATATATCTTCATTTTCCCCTCCAATTCGACAGTGATGAAAAACAGATTCCCTTCTTTTCTTCCTGGTTTTTCCCCTCAATACACAATCCATGAACACATAGGAATCTCGACAGATTCACGTTCTCGTGCAAGAACGCAAATTAGATAGTTGTATCCTCTAACCAGATGCTCAGACTACGCACGAGTAGGGGCGAAATTCTGTTTAAGGACACTGCATAGCAGGCCTCTATCAGTTTGTCTTCCAATCGTTGATTCCAAGTAAGTTCTCTTACTTTACATGATAAGAATCTGTTATATAAACATATATACATATACACGTTTAGTTCATTTTTCTTGATTTTTAGTCATTCGAGTGCTCACAAACATATACACTAGTTCATGATAAGTCAGGTACCATAACAGTGGATCTAACACGATTCTGCTCAAGTACTTTTGGGATTTCTTTGTAGGTTTAAAACCTGCATCGTTCTATTTGCAGATCTATTTTCAAATGGATGGAATACAAATTGAGATCAACTAGGGCCATCGATTCACTCTTATTTATCATAGTTTGGTGAACTTCACCATTTTCAAATAGATTCACCGTTACCTCAAAGTATCCTCTCACAAATTTAAAATCAATCCTCAGTATTAATAACAAACAAACAGCGAACCTAATTGCAGAACAAATCTATATCAACTGCAAACTTTTCTAACTCCAAGTTGACAACATAGACCTTCAGATTTACAGAACTTACTAATGAATCGATCAATAACTCCGCAAATTAAACTCTGTACGTGTATGGATAACAGAAATCAGAAGATCGAATGATCAGTCGGAGAAACTTACTGTCACTGTTAACGCAGCCGGTGGAGCAGGAATCGTAGCAGTCGACGCCTTGGGACTCAACGCGAGTTAACTCATTCGAAGATACAATTAGAAGCAGGATTAATGCTGCCGCTGCGATCATCGTCTTCTTCTCCATTGTAATCGGCAGAGCTTTTGATTCTTAATCCTCTGCTTTTTGAATTTTTTTTGCTCTTTCTGTCGGTACCAAAATCTGATTTATTTATAGAAAGAACAAAACTAAAATGAACATATAAAATGTTATTTTTTTTTTCATAAAAAATGGCATTTTATAGTTGTTGAATTAACATTACTCAAAAAGCTCGGTCTTTTTGCTGATTAAGACCTCATTTGTTTATTCTTTAATAGTTCAATTAACAGACAAACTTTGAATCGTTAAGAAGTGAGGGGTTGTTTGACAGTTGCGGAATGATTTGATGCAGAATGATTAAATGGTCAGAATGATTAAGAGGCTCTCATCATATAGTGTAAAATGAAATATAATTGTTCAGTAATTGTTTGCAATGAAATTAAGATGCTGAATGGTTAAGATCAACTCCAATCGAACAGCAAAACCCTAGTTTTGTCGTTCTCTTTGATCCAATCGTACGCCAAAAACACCAATGTTTTGCCGGAGGAAGAAATTGAACGACATATTTGCCGTGAAGGAGATGAACGACATATTTGGCAAAAGGGTGGTCCCCACCACCTTTTCTTAGATTTAATAATTTTTTTAATAAATTATAAATAATTACAAATATTAAGTTTTAGGTTTTTATATTTATTATGTAAATATATATATATATATATATATAATAAATTATTAATAACACAAATATGATACCGGATAAACGTAAACGTAGTTTATTAATGGAAGTTTTAAAAACTAAAATACATAAATTAAAGGGTCCAATCGTCTCCGTTAGACATAAACTGACTAAAGCTTCCTGCTACGTTCTGAGATCCTTCGGCTTGGTCTTCAGCTCCTCTAAATTGTTGATGTTAAGATAGACGATATTGAGATGCTACGAATTCTAATCCTTGTCCAGACATATGAACCTGGGGTTCCGCTCTCTCTCTCGTTATTTGAATTTTCTCATTTTTATGAACTCATACCACAGAGGATTAGTGATAGAGTTTAGATCGGTGCACATAAGTTTGTCATCCGCCAAACCTTGACTCTAATGCAAGTTTCTGAGCTTGAAGCTCATTCCTTCGCATCATAACTTTATTGTTTTTGGCTGTTTGTTTGCTCATATTTTTACTAGCCTTGACTAAGGTCTCTAGCTTATTATCAAATCGGAGCCTTGATTTTGCTTTTTTTTTCCACACCAATTGGTCTTTGAGTACCTTCTACGTCGTCAATAGTCAATGACGGTAAACCGGCATCTATCACAGACGATGAACCAGGACCGGAAGAAGGTGATTGATAAGGACTTTGTCGTTGATACTGAGTTGATGCAGTGACATTTGATAAACTCTCGGAGTCTTTCAAGATGTCCCAGACATGATCAAACTTGAAACCATTCTTATAGGATCCGTCAAGTTTTAACAGCTCTTTCGCTTCGTTCATCTATGAAAAATACACGTTATATTTAAATTAATAAAACAATGATCAACTAAAACAATAAATACTTACAATATCTTGTTCAGAAGAACCACTTGGATTCCTCATTTCAATTTGATTGATACACCTTCACATTTTTTTGCAAGCTTTTAGAATGCAAGACATTCTCGTTTCCAATGATCTTCTTGGTCGAGGATTGGTTGTGAACGGTTCGGTTTGGTGATAAAGAGTTTCTACTCTTGACCAAAACTTATCTTTTGATTGGTTTCTACCAATTATTGGATTTTGAGTTATATCAAGATAACAATGACATAGTTGTATGTCTTCGATATCTTTGTAGGATGAAGTTCGGATTGTTGAAGACATTTTTATGAAAAGGCTGGTAATATCTCAATGAAAATGTGTGTGATTTAGCTTACCGACTCGCCCCCTATTTATAAACAAAATTTTTATTCACGATCCACGTGGCCCTAAAAAACAATATTTTGCAAAGAAACAAGAAGCATGTAGAAAAGATGTAGAACGTGCATTTGGCGTATTGCAATCAAGGTTTGCAATAGTAGCAGGACCTGCACGATTATGGAGGAAGGAAATATTGCATGATATAATGATTTCGTGCATCATTATGCATAATATGATCATAGAAGATGAACGTGATATTAATGCACCAATTGAAGAACGAAGTGAAGTGCAAGACGTGGGAGTTGAGATGATGAACGATGGTGGACTTGAACAGTTTCTTGCTCGACACAAAAAGATCAAGGATAAAGATGCTCACTTTGAACTTCGTAATACATTAATTGATCATTTATGAGACGAGTATACTAACTCGGAGAATTAGTATTATTTATATGTTTTTTAAATTTATGCTATTTGAACTAATGTAATCTTTTTAAATATAAAATTTATTAATTACAATTTTATCGTTTTTATTTTAACATTTCTAATTACTAATTATTTATTATTATAATATATATTACAAATTATAAATATTGTTATTAAAAATAGTAAATAAAATATGTTATTATAATATGGGGTCCACAAATTTGGTGTTTTTTTAGAGTGTGATTGGAGTTGAGTTTTTTGGTGTTTATGGGCCCACCAGATTTGGTGTTTTTGGTGTGAAGGTTAGAGTTGCTGTAAGGGAGGCCTAGGATACAAAATTATTCAGAAGGTTTTAGAAACATTAAGAGACAAACTTTTTTTTGCCAAACTAAATTCAACTCTTAGTGATTCAGAGGCTACCTCTTAATAGATCTACTAGAAGCGTACTCACGCAATGCAGCGAGATTCATTGTGATTTTAATATTTTATTTTATTTTTTATCTCAGCTGATGTTATAATATGGTTTTATGTGATTTTGAGAAAGCGATGATGTTTTTATTTTTGAATAAAATATATGTTTGAAAATATCATAAAATTTGACAAAAATATATCGACATTAATATCAAATTAACTATTTGAAATTCCTCATTTTTTTGTGTAATTTTTTCATTCAATTTTTTTATAATTTAATTTATGTACAAAAACGAAGTTATATTTGGTTTAATAATATAATTTTTTATAAAGATAATAATTGTTTATTTTGTTGGAACTCGATAATTATTCTAATTATATTTTAGATTTTTTATATTTTAAAATGAGATGTTCATCCTCTATTTGATTATGTTTATCCGCAGTTATTTATACGAATTCTAACATCGAGCTTTAATAAGTTATACTTATGCATAATTACTTGTAATCTTAAATTTTAAGTAATATGCATCAATATACAGTAHTTTATGCATAACAAAAATATATCGATATTCGTATCAAATTAACTATTTAAA